AAATGCAATTTTTGGCATGTAGGACCAAACATTTTTGAAAACTGTAGAAATGAATGTTTTATCCATCCTTCTGCAACTGAATGCATCTGCATCTTAAATTATTTCCAGCAGATGGATCATACTGTCCTTTGTATTGTAAAATAACACATAAAGTAGCAGTTACAAGTTACTCTCAGTCCCTCTGTACTGTGTGATATGCATGCTAGTCGCAAAACACAACATTTCTTGTACACCAGGCTACCTAGAGAAACCCTCAGACCAGAAGATGAGTAGATTACTGGCATTTTGGTTGTTGACTCTCAACCAAAATGTCTGAACATTAAGAGTTTGAGCAAATACAACAATGGCATACAGTTTTCAGTTACCTAAAAAGTAAATGGCAGTAATGTTCACATTATTGTTCTATTAATTAATTCATTAATTATTGTTGTTTTTATTTGCCAATTATAGTGCTCAAATAAATTAGTGAAAAAGATAGAACTGTCAGCCTAACAGTATCCACTTGTGAAAGCACCTGTAGGGTCTACAGAGTAAGCTTTCTGGGTGGACAGAAGATAAACAGAAACACTTACGGATTTTTTTCAGATCTGAATCTGAGTGGAGCTTGATTTTCTCCTATCTCTTAAAGGCAAAAGCTTTAGTTACTGTTGGTATGATGGTGACAGGTTTGGAGGACTAGGCCTTGCATAGTTATTAGGACTCCCATTTTCTCTATATGTTTTAATAATTATTTGAACTCCTTTTTTTAATTCCTGTTTTTTTCACTCATTTTCCTTTGACTTTTAACCTTCTTATGTTATCTCAAACAGTGATCTCTGAACAATGTATAACGTACCTTATGGCTGTTTTTACTGGTAATTGAATAAATGAAGGGTGGTGTCTGACTTTTGCCCAGTACTGTATAACAACATGCCCCATAGGGATGCTGGAGACTGGTTTAATGAAAGAATAGTAGGACATTCTGCTTTCAAAACTAAAACAATTGGTGTTTTCACCTAAACAATTATTAAGTGCTGTTAAAAAATAAAAGTGATATAAGACATGAACATAAATGCCTTTGTCCGAACATTTTTTGGAAGCAAGCACCAAATCTGGAATAGGTGTGTATTTACGTAACAGACAAAAATATCATGCTTATTTTCTTTTTAATACAGGTCAGATATAATTTACTAATCATTCCTTTCTGTTTTTATTAGCATTCCACCTACTGTCCTAGCTTTTTTGGACCTGAGGATATATTTATAATTAAAACATGAATATCACATATCTAACTAAAGAAATTAATTAAATGATTGATGACTTGAGCGCTAAAGCTTTCTTAATAAATGTGGATTCTTTCTATGGATATTGGCAGCAACCGGTATCTGAATATTAAAACAGGGAACTTAGTGAAAATAGATGAAAAGTTGAAAAGTCTACCAGAAAATACAAGTGAATGTAATAACAATCAGTGTGTATAAGCTAAATGGCTATTTTTTATGTTAATGAAATCAGCTCTAGTGGGTCTTCAGCTAACAAATGACTGAAATGTGCAGCATGCTGAGAATGAGCCTGATAATAAAGCTTGTGGCGTTCTTAAAGCCCATGTGTACTCATTTTCATAATCTTTTTTTAACTACTATCTATAATTTTATGATATTTTTTCAGTGAACTGGCTGAGGAAGAATGCTGTTGGTCTTTTCTGTTGAGAGATTTTTGAAATTACTTTTTCTGCCATTTTTTTTAATTCGATTGGAGTTAGGTGGGACTAAGTTTGGCACAAGTGATGTCAGATCTGCCAAAGTACAAATTTGAGGTAGGCATACATATATGTCAGCTACTCTACTAAAGTTGATTTAACATTAGTGCTGCTGAGCATTTAAATATACCAGTCATAAGATGAAAGCCTGAGTTCTTAAACACTACCTACAAAATGTAATTAGCTCTCTAAAATGACCATAAGACCGCTTGTTCTTCATTATGCACTTTTTACTCACCATTCAGACCTGATGAGAAGAGCGAAGTGGTGTATTTTTCTGCAGAGGAGGCTTAAACGTGTAGGGCTGAACCACACCAGTTAACTATGTTGCTCACCACTGCTACTGAAGCCAGGTTATTTACAATATATGGGAGATGCCGCTGTCAGTCATTTTGCGTTTTTCTATTAAATTGTTTTACTTTATAAATATTGTGACTATAACACTGGTAAACAGCAAGCTGTCATGCTGTTTTGCTCTTATGTTGGTGGGCATTACCAATTTTTCTTGTTTGCAGTCTTGCAAGAGTGTGGAACCAGAAAGCTAAGCCAGGTGTTCTGCAGGCTTGGTGTAGTGTTTAGTGTAGTGTTTAGCAGGGACTGCTAAATTGGCAGATGCCCAACAGAAAATATCATGTCACCTGCATTAGTGTTATCTCCTAGGTCTGCCACAGGTGTTGCCACTTTCCAGAAGCAGCTCACTTACCACCTTGAGTTGTTTGACATCCTAAAGATTGCTGGCCCCAGTTATTCAGTGACCTTTATAGGCATAGACCAGAATGACTGCACCTTGTGGTCCTGGTGGGGCTGGTGGACTCATTAATGGACTGTGAAACTAGGCATACTTACTCTTCAAGTTCTGCTGAAGTTTCCTTTTAAGACTCATTATTTTTGTAGAGTCTGCAAAGGAGTGAATTTTTTTTCCTTGGCAATGACCGACACCGTACCATTGTAGTGAAAAAACAAGTCACAGACAAAAACATCAAACTTAATTGGTGCTGGGTTAATTGGGTATGTTTTAGTCAGTTGGGTTGAAGTAAAGTTGTGTACACACAGTGCCATCAACAAATATTGGCAATCCAGTAGACAAGAGCAAAACAGACTGTAAAAAAATGCTGATGCTTATGCGTCAGGTCTTTCCCACAGGTCTTCTGTGGAGTTTAGGTCACCAGACTAGTTGCCATAGCAAAACCTTTTATCTGTGGTCAGTGAAACATTTTTGTTTTAATTTTTGAGGGATGCTTTAGACCATTGACCTACTGGAAGATCCAACCACGGCCTAGCTGAAGCTATCTGGCTGAAGCAGTCAGGTTTTGATATATTATCTACTGGTACTTGATAGAGTCTATCTTACCATGTGTCCGAACAAGTTGTCCAAGGCCTTTGGTAGAAAAATAGCCCCACAACATCAGATACACCACCATACTTCACAGTGGGGATGAGATACTTTTCTGCATGGCTGTCTTTGTGTCTGTGCCAAACCCACTCCTGGTGTTTGTTGCTAAAAAGCTCTATTTTTGTCTAATCTTGCCGTAGAACATAGTCCATAGTTTGGGAGACCTTTTGACCCCAAGACCTAATTATGAAATTTCCCAGCTGTAATCCTTCAAGGTTCTTTGGTCACTCAAACCATCCTCCTCACTGTGTGTAGAGTCATTGTAGACATATATCCTCTTCCTGGCAGATTCTTAACATCTACAGTTGCTTTAAACTTCCTAATTTTTGCCCTGATCACAAAAATAAGCATTTTTAACTGGTTGTTATGTTATTTTCTAGTAGTCATTTCCTGATTTATGCAGCTCAACAACTTTTTGCTCTATTTCTTATAGTAATGTATGACTAAGGCTGCATCTGAAATGGCATACTTCCATACTATATAGCAGTATTCGAGAATAGTTGGTGTGTCCAGGTACGTAGTGTTGATCAAACAGTACGCAAAAATTCCCCAGATTAAGTACTTTTTAGTATACACTGGGTCAAATTTAGTACATACTGCTTTAAGTACACCATTACAGACACCTCCGAGTGAATTTGTGCCTTTGTGTTGCATCATATTTATACCCCAGTGAAACAGGGAGTCATGGCAGACCACTTAAATGTTCCTAATCCCTCAGGTGAGCTTAAAACATAAAATATGAAAGAGAACATATTTTAGTTAGATTTTACTCATCAGATTTTCTAGGAGTGGCATACATAGATTTGAGAAAATTATAGCCTGTTTTGCTGTCTTCAGTTGTTTGCCAGGGGTGCCAATGTTTGTGGAGGGCACTGTAAAAAAAAGCAGAAAAAACATATATTAGGGCATGCCACGGGTCTTACGAAAAACAACGTTCTAACTTCTGACTTTGGGCTGTAACGTTTAGAGGGCAGCGATATATATGATATTCATAACACCTTTAACAGGGCAGTGGTGAGTAATGTTATTTGAGCTTGGGCTGTTTCTGTCATCAGTTGGGTGATACTACGTATGGACAGCTGTGATGCAGAATAGCAAGTCTGGCAATTTAAGGCTTGTACTTATTGTAATTTAATTGTGTTTTAAAAATCAATGAAATTATTAATCACTGTTATTTATATGGTAATTAAACGTGAACTAAAATTTCCTGATCGTGACGAAATGATTAAATACAGACGGGAGATGTCAGTGTCTTGTAGTACGCCGTCGTCTCCTGAGAACAGAACAAGGTACATATAGTACAGGGGCACCTGCAGAGCTTTAATAGAGTGTTAGGAAGGCAAAGATGATGTGTAACAACTGTACCACAGGAGGGATTTCTTGATTTCTAATCTGTAAAGAAAGTAATATATGTATTTTTCATTGTCATTTCAGTGTAGAGTATGTGTACTTTGTGTTTGAATTTGATGTGAAATGAGATGTAGAAAATGTTAGAGGTGTTTTTCTCAAATGCAACTTTCTTTGCAAAGCAGTTGATTAGCTATTATTTTATCATGCATCTCTAAAGTCAGCTAGATTCCTTTTTGTCTGTAACATTAACTATAGATCACTTTGCATATGAAATAGATTTGTATCAACGTAGAGCAATACATTTTCAAACATAAGATAATGATAGAATTTTAACATGTAAACAGATTACACTGCTTTATTACAGTAGTTGGCATACAGACTAATACTACTTTTTAAAGTTTTGTAGTTACTGATAGCTGTTGATTGCAAATGTTGTTTCAATGTATGTATAAACCCAGCATGTTTTTCTGAGACACATTTATTTAGACTTATATTTTTATTACCATTTGCACTAAGACATCGAGCAGCATGCAAAATCTTCCTGCACAGAATTTTTCATTTATAACTTTCAAATTCAATGGTTTCTATGATTTGGGGGAATGGAGGCCTTTTTTGTCCATTCCCTACTTCCTTATGTTTTTGTTGTCAACAGTGTCAAACTCTATTCTTATATATTTAATTATATCTGAGAAAGCTCTGCACTCCCCAATGTGTGTCCTAATTGGTCTGATGGCTGTTGTGGACTTGTTTTTGCCAATATTTTTTGTGCCACACATGTTGCTCAGCTTTTTATTTAACTGGAATGGGATTTCACTTTCCGGCTGTTTAATACAAATGTTTTGTATTCATTATGTTGGTACATTTCAGTCTACTTTACTATTATGTATGGCTGTGGATCGGTTCTTTGCTATATGCAGGCCTCTTTATTATCACAAATATATGCAAATGCCCAACTTTCTAAAGTTTGTTATCGTGCCACTAATCAGAAATATAATCTTAATTACCACAATGGTTTCTTTGGCTGGAAAATTGCAATTTTGTATGAAAAATGAAATAGATCACTGTTTTTGTGAACACATGGCATTGGTTCAGTTGGCCTGTGGAGATATTTCTGTTAACAACATAGTAGGACTTTCAGCTGCTTTTCTAATACCAACTGCAGATGATGTTTTCTTTATTTTATCTTATTTCATAATACTTGCATCTGTGCTAAAATCTGGGAAGTCTCACTTAAAGGCTATTAACACTTGTGTTACGCATCTAATTGTCATGGCAGTTGCCTTAACATTTGCCTTGATTGCCTTTATGTCTTACAGAATAAGAAATAATTTCTCTTCCAGCATTCGTGTTTTTCTGAGTACAATGTACTTACTCTTTACAAGCTGCTTCAACCCAATTATTTATGGAGTAAGAACAAAAGAAATTAGAGAACAGTTTCTTAAATTCATGAATCGAATGAAGATGTTACCACAGTGCTATAATAATGTAGATTAAAGCATTATGTACGCACTTAATTCATGAGGATTTGACAGTTGTAAGTGGGGTTATAATGTAGGAGAAATATTAACCTCTGATATTTCATCAGGGTGCAGAATTGTTTGAAAAGAACATACACATAACTAGATGGTGTCATATACATACCATGAATCACCACAGAAATCCCAGTAGCGGTTAAAAACTTAAAAAGAAACATTATCCAAATAAAATCATACTCTTCCAAAGTTTTATTTGTTTTTGTGATTTCTAGAATTGTATAATTCCTTTTTATAAATGCTGTTTGGTGTTTTACACTTTAATAATGTCTTAGTTAAAGTAAAATATTTACATTTACATATACATTTACATTAAATATTTACATTTACATTTTCTGTAAAAAATGAATCCATTCTTTTGCATCTAAATGCATGTGTATTTTCAGTTATTTTTAGCAGATGGATCATAATTTCCTTTGCATTGTATCATCTGTTGAGTGCAAAATAACACATAAAAGAGCAACTAGGTTTTGCTCAGTAACAAGTTACTCTCAGCCCCCCTGTGCTACACTATATGAACAAAAGTACCTACGCATTATACCTACAGAAGCTTTTATGACATCGCATTCTGAATCCATTAATATGGAGTCCCCTCTTTGCAGCTCACAATCTCTGTTCTAGTTCATCACAAAGGTGTTTGATGGGGTTGAGGTCCCCCAGAGGCTTCAGCTCAGCCTTTATTACGATCATCCCAGGACAGCTACACAACAAACTACTCCAACTCAGCGTGCCAACTGCCACCTGCCAGTGGATCACCAACTTCCTCACTGACAGAGAGCAGCAGGTGAGGTTGGGAAAGTTCACCTCAAACACCCAGATCATCAGTACAGGCGCTCCACAGGGTTGTGTACTCTCACCATTGCTCTTCTCACTGTACACGAACGACTGTACCTCCACGGACTGCCCCCGTGAAAATCTAGAAGTATGCAGACAACACTACAGTGATTGGTCTCATCTGAGATGGTGATGAGTCTGCTTACAGATGGGTGGTTGATCAGGTGGTCCTTTGGAGCAGCTACAACAACCTGGTGCTGAATACAGCGAAAACAGTGGAGATGACAGTGGACTTCAGGAGGAGCCCTCCAACCCTGCCAGCACTCACTATCCTGGACAGAACTGTGGTGGCAGTAGAGTCCTGCAAATTCCTGGGCACAACAATCACCAGGGACCTGAAGTGGGACAGCAACATCAGCTCCATCACCAAGAGAGCCCAGCAGAGGATGTACTTCCTGCGTCAGCTGAGGAAGTTCAACCTGCCCCAGGAGCTGATGGTGCGGTTCTACACAGCCATCATAGAGTCTGTCATCACCACGTCCATCACAATGTGGGGCGGCTCAGCCACCAAGCATGACCTCCACAGACTGCAGCGCATCATCAGGTCTGCAGAGAGGACAATTGGGGTTAAGTTGCCCATATTGCTAGAACTGCATGCCTCCAGAACCAGGAAGCGTGCAGAGAAGATCTCCACTGACTCGTCCCACCCCTGGACACCACCTGTTCCAGCTTCTTCCCTCAGGCCGGCGCTTCAGCCAGATGAGGATCAGGACATCCAGGCTACAAAGGAGTTTCTTCCCACAAGGCATCACTCTCTTGAACAGTTAAAATGTTACATATTAAAATATTCCAGTTTCTAAACGGCACTTCTAAATATACTGGTATATAGTATCAAACTCAACTCCATCCTCTGAAACTACCGTCACAGACCAGTGTTTATTCTAGCGTCTTACTTACCTGCCATATTACCCCACTTATCTGACTGTCACCTCATTGATCCCTTTCTTTGCCACTATACACCCCTTTAACTGCTGCTTCACTCAGCACTTTAACTTTTGACCCATACTTTGCAAATGTAAAGGTTACAGGTATGACTGTGTGTGTGTGTGTGTATGAGTGAGTGATGGTAGGAATGCTTTAATTTAGGAATGTTTTATTTTATTTTTTTGTATTGTATTTTATTTTATTTTATTTTATTTTATTTTATTCACTACATGTAAATGTCTGTCTGATACTGTGCACTGTGAGCTCCTGTAACCAAAACCAAATTCCTTGTATGTGTAAGCATACCTGGCTAATAAAGCTTGATTCTGATTCTGAATATTAAGATTTTAGTAGTCTACTCAGTAACTGTAGGAAAAGGCAGAAAACATGCACACTCTAGACAGGTACCTGTATTTCATAATTCTGTATACTGCGATACAGTATGCATTGTAATATTATCTTGGACATTTTGAAATACCATCATATTATTATATATTATTATATATTTTTTTAATTATATATTTTACAGATGCACCCAGGTACCACAGGTTTCACAAGGACAAGAATACAAGTATGTATTATGGCCTTAGATGAAGTGAAAGGCCCAAAAGCATTCTAAACATAACCCTGCATAAGAAAGTGACTTTATTTAACAGCCAGTTTGGTGGATAGCTAACAGGCTACAGTGCTTTCCCTACCATTACTTAGTCTGAGCCTATGTAGTATGTGCTAATTTTTTGGCATGAATAAATTCTGAGTCTATTTTCAAATGTAAAGATGCACTTAATTCACATACCAAGTCCAGCGTTGATGTGATCAACAAAATGCCCATGACCTTCAATCCCTCAGATGACACTGCATTAAAAAAGGCATGTGTCTGTGATGCATATCACCACATGGACTTGGGAATGCTTTGTCACACGACTGTCTCTGTGTTTGTTGCTGCATTCACAAATACAGGTTAAAGCTGGATAGGTGAGTAATTTTAGAAATATTTTTCTCGAAATGCTCTCTTCATCCTGATAGCAATCAATGAAATAAATGCTCTGAAATGAAAAAAAAATATCTGTAGAGGCCTGCAAACACCCTGTCCAATCATTTCATTGAGATTGAATGAATTTAAATGGAAGGCCAACCTGCCTGTCTAACTTACCTATCTCACTGACCTGCCCTCATGTGCTCACTCTGCATGTGTTCTCATTTGTGCGTGTGCTGAGTCTGTCATACGGCTCACACACAGACATACACACGCAAGGTAGTGAGCAAGTTTCACAAGAATGGCAGAGAAAGTTACACAGGTACCTACAACAGCTTGCAGTACTAAAGAAAAACAGACAGAGACAAGAATTTGAACAAAGAGATGTTGAATAAAGCAAGACTTCAAACCTGAGTGAGCATCGTTGTGGCTTTTCAGCAGTGACGAAGCCTGAGGGAGTTGAAAGGCTTGGAAGGCGATGCCAAGGTTGCTATATTCATCTGATCAAATGATTATCTGGTTTGTTTTATTTATGGGGGAATTTATTTTCCTTAATTATGTAGCCAACGTAGCTAGCTACTTATGTAGCTCCAGTATGTATTGTTCCAACATTAATGTTAGCTAAGCTGTAGGTGTCAACTAGCTTGATAGTGTTTATTGTGTATGAAATGTGTGTCCATGTTCATCGATGTCAGCATTGTAGTCAAAGTGTCATTTGATTGTAGTTATTTTATATTGGCTTTCAACAGGATGTTTTACAAATGTTGGCAGTCTACGGGTCTCGTGGTGTTTTTAGGAGTCCAATCTCTATATATTTTAATAATTTTTAGAAGAAAATCTGTTTCTGGAAAATCCTGTTTTTCGGATATTTTCCTTCTCATGGTATCTACCAGAAATATCTCCTGAACAATACATAATGTGCACTTAATGGATGTTTTGAATGGAAATGAAGTAAATTATAGGTGGTGTCCGATTCTTGCACATTACCGTACAACAGGCCCCGTATGTTGTACAGTATGTCTATATAATGAAGGAATGGCAAGAAATTCTGCTTTCAAAATTAAATCAGTTTGTGTCTTGAGTACCCAAACAATTATTGTGTAGAAAGAAAAGTAATGTAAGACAGTGGTAAACATGTTCCTGTCCCAGCTTTTTTGGAATGTGTTGCAGATATCAAATTTAGAAAGAGCAAATATTTACAAAACAACAAAGTTCATGGTCTGCCTCAAATGAAGCCATTTCACACTTGCAACTGATCTATATTTCTCTGATGTTACACTCAAATCCAAAACACTGGTGAACTTTTTTTGTGGAACGTTGCATGAACATGAACTTGGTCAACTCCATTTTCCCCTGTGCATTCCTGTTATGGATTACATTAGTGGACAGTCGAGGATTACATCAAGTTTAGCCTTGCTGTTCATTCTGTGAGAGTACAGCCACGTCTCTGCATCATACTTTAAACCAAAGGACTGGGTTGATGGATGTTTGTCATGCTCGCTTTCATAACTGCTTTCCCGCTTTCTTTTTCATAAGGTGTGTGGGTTTTTGTACTAGTGCTATAGGAGCTTGCTGAGCATTGTAAATACTGATTGTTGGGCTGCACTTTGGTTTAAACTTGGGCAGTAACACCTGTTTGCTGAATTTGGCTTGGTTGCTGTACTGAATTGCCTGATGTTGTATCATTTGAGCTCGCAATAGTTTTAGACAGTGTTATATACTTCTGCATCTAATCGTTTTGAAAGGGTACAGAGAGCACCACCCTACAATAGCAGTTTTACCTGATCACAGTGAAACTCATCACAGTCACATTAGTAGTTTTGGATAGGTGGTGAAATCAGAGTTAGATAAGTTGAGACTGCTAAAATGACTACTGTGACTCCTTAACAAAGAAAGATAAGCCCTTTTGCTCAGTACAACCCCAATTCCAAAAAAGTTGGGACGCTGTGTAAATATAAATAAATGTAAATAAAAACAGAATGCAGTGTTTTTGCAAATCTCATAGACCCATATTTTATTCGCAATAGAACGTAGAACACATATCAGGTAGGAATAGTTTTCCTATTGGAATCAGGTTGTTGTGACAGGTTTGTGTTGTGGAACAGCAAATTGCAGAGAATTTCAAAGCTCTGCCTTTCTTTACCCACCAGTAGGGGCAGGGGTAGATTCTTTACTGCTCCCACTGTGATTGGCCAGTTCCTGTTGGGTCTAGCCAACGTCACCTTTGCTGTTGGGTCCTCTTGAACATTTCTGTGATTGCAGGTTAAGTGCGCCAAAAACGGGATGTTGCTCAGGCAGTGGTGTTCACTGCAGCAATGTTGTAAAGCTCCTTAAATCTAGCATGGCATTCATCATCTCTCCTCCAGCTTCAGTGGGTCGCTAAGTACTCAGTGGGTCATCCAAGTGTGTATGTGCCATCCAAGCCTTTGCTGTGGAGGTGTTTCTGGATCAGTGAGCATAGGCTCATATCATGGTGAGACAAATCAGCCTGTGCTTCGCTTTTCGGGACGCTCCAAAAGGCCAAAGATAGAGAGTCTCTTGTGATCTTTAGACTTGAGTTGGCTTTTGACAGGGAGGGTTTAGTGATTTCATTGAAGTTCTGGGCATCCACTGGCTTACCAGTCATTTAAAAACAAATAGCAAGGACCATAGCCACCCTGTTGCTCAGTTCTCCTCACAGCCTTTCTGATTGGACCTGTCTCCAGGTGACTTCCTGAATCTGTGCCATTTGTATTTATGTAGGCACAAGTGAGGTGAATTTCCATTCACGTAATTGCTGTACTCCTACCACAAGTGACAAATGGACACAACAGAGGATCTCTCTTTTCAGGTGGTCGTAGTCTTCTGCTTTCTCCATGGGTAGGGTGAATTATGTCCTTTGCACCTTACTGGTCAAAATGAGCATAAGAATATATGCCCATTCTTCTCTCTCTCATACCTCCTCTTTAGCCAACCCCTCAAATTATTCCTAGCCTGATCTTGTTTGTTACTGCAGAGTCCTTCTATCCAGTTTTTAAAAAACACTAAGTGGAGCTGTGTCAGATTGTCTTCTAGCCAGATGTTTTTGTGTTGTGATCAGGTCGTCAGTTTGCCATTGGGGGACATGTTTACACTGGACCAAAGTGACCAGGGGTGCTCCAGTGCATTGTCACATTATGTCAATTTAAGGCATGATCATTTATCTAAACATCGTACATTTTATATAAACTTGTAAGATTTTTGGTTTTAGGGTTTTTTTGTGGATCCATGTCCAGTTAACCTCTATTGTTAGCCTCCTTTGCAAACTTAGTATTCTTGTGAATTTGCAAAGGAGTGGTTACTTGGTACTGGTTGACAGCTTGCCGTTACTTTGAGAAATATCAAAATTACAGTTAAATCTAAAGTATCAAGCCTTTTTTTCCAAGGGAAACCTGATAATAAACAGAGCTGTGATGGTTAATTAAAGTTGGGAAATGGAGGATAAACAGGGCTTTTCCATGTCAATATCCTTAAGCCTGTAGGAGAACAGAGTAGTCTCATGAGAACACAAAATTTGCATATAGAGACAGGTACACACCAAACTTTAATCACATGCTAGGAAGGCGAAGACAATACATAAGCAGTTGTACCACAGGAGAGATTTCTCTATTTGTTTTCTTTTGTTCACTGTCTTTGCACAAAGTAGAATGTATGTACTTTTTTAGTTTTGGTAATACATTAATTATTATGAGACCTTAAAATTGCTAGAGGCATTTTCCTCTCATACATTTTTTCATTGTAATTCTACTGAACAGTGATTAGTTTCATTTAATAGCTAGCAGATATATTCACAAACATCTATAGAACATGACACATTTATAAAGTTTAAAAGAAAGAAAGAAAGATTGTTTTTTTTCCCCTTAGTTTGTGGATAACATTTAACTATAGATTATGTAAAGAATAGATGTGTATCAAGCTAGAACAATATATTTTCATGTATCAAAAGAAAGTAATATATCTCTTACATGTGAATAGATTATTCTGCTGTTCACCTACAGTAGTCGACAAATTGACAAATACTAATTTTGCCAATTTTCAAAATCAAACATTTGTAATTGCTGATGACACTAGAATCCAATACTTGTTTAGTATTTTAGTTCAGTGTATGTGTAAAACCAGCAGGTTTTGAGACACTTTAAATAAAAATATTAAATGCACTAAGGTGTTGAGCACCATGCAAAATCTTACTGTACAAAATTTTTCATTCATAACTTTCAAGCTTAGTGGTTTCCATGATTTGGGAGAATGGAGGCCTTTTCTGTTTATTCCATATTTCCTTATGTTTTTGTTGTCTACACTGTCAAACTCCATTCTCATATATTTGATTGTATCTAAGAGAGCTTTACACTCTCCGATGTGTGTACTAATCGGTCTGATGGCTGTGGTGGACCTGTGCTTGCCAATATTTTTTGTCCCAAATATGCTACTTAGCTTTTTATTTAACTGGAAGGGGATTTCACTTGTGGGCTGTTTGATACAGATGTTTTGTCTTCATTATGTTGGTACATTTCAGTCTACATTACTTGCCTGGATGGCTGTGGATCGGTTCTTTGCTATATGCAGACCACTTTATTATCACAAATATATGGAAATCCCTACCTTTCTAAAATTCATTATTGTACCACTAATCAGAAATGTAATCTTAATTGTCATGATTGTTTCTTTGGCTGGAAAACTTTCTTTCTGTGTGACAGATGAGATAGATCACTGTTTTTGTGAGCACATGGCTTTGGTCCAGCTGGCATGTGGAGATATTTCCATTAATAACTTAGTAGGACTTTTAGCTGCTTTTCTGATTCCAACAGTAGATTTTATTTTCTTTACTTTGTCTTATATAATAATGCTTGCATCTGTATTAAAATCTGGAAAGTCTCATTTAAAGGCTATTAACACTTGTGTTACTCATATAATTGTGATGGCAGTTACTTTAACTTTTGCCTTGATTGCCTTTTTGTCTTACAGAATAAGAAATAATTTCTCTTCCAGCATTCGTGTTTTTCTGAGTACAATGTATTTGCTTTTTCCAAGTTGTTTTAACCCAATTATTTATGGAGTAAGAACAAAAGAAATAAGAGAACAATTTCTTAAGTGCTTGAACCAAATAAAGGTTTTACCACAATGCTATAATACTGCAAATTGAAGTATTCTGTAAGCACATTGTTACTCAAAAAATTCCTCAAAAGTCATTTTCGCCCCTCCTAGAGACATTTATATATTAACTAACATGTCTTTGTATCAGAATGAGACACTTTCTTGTTCTATCCTAAATTCTTTTTTACATTACCTAGCATGTTCCTTGCAGCAAGTGTAATTCAGAATATAAAAATATCAACAGAAGAATATCTAGAAAAATACTGACATTTGTCAAAGCAACTTTATCTAAATAAAATAATATTTTCAAGGTGTTTTTTGTCTGTTTATTTTGGTTTTACAATTTTATTACTACTTACCTACTAAGTAGAATTACAGCCTTATGAAAAAGTCTTATTGATTTTCTAGTTGGAAATTAGTTAACTCATTCTCTACAGGGAAACTACAGAAATATGGCATTTGTCTGTAAATTGCACTGCAGTTTTAACATATTGAAAAAAAATACTCACAATCAACACATGTAATTTGACCACGGGTGTCCAAACTTTTCCATACAACTGTATTTTCTTTAAATAATGTTCATTTTAGTTTAATCATGTAGTTTTACAGTTTAAGCTTTGTTCACAGTAGCCATAAAATGCAAGTTCTGCCTGTTCTGGAGATTTTGTGCTATGCTTTTGTTTCTTCTTTAATAATGCTGATGATATATTTAGATGGAAATGTGTATGATTACCAAACCCAGAAGTGAACTGAATCTTTGTCTCTGAAGATGAGCAAACAAGTCAATATGTATAGAAGTGTTTTCTTTTTTGCTGTGGCAGTTATACACATTTTTTGGTAGCACTTTATTTCACAGTATGGTAATTACCTAGCATTTGGGTACTAATAGGTGGATATAGGAAGCAGGGCTTTGAACTAATGCTCATTTATTGAATATGCAGCAGAGAAAACCCACCACCAGCGCTAACAAAAACAGCAGGGTAGCTGGCAGGTCACTTCTAGTCCTACACAGTCCTTTCATGATAGACACTACAGCCCACCTTCTACCCCACAGCCCAGCACAATAAGACCCATATATAACAAAGCTACTCTTTATAAAGCTGTACAAATTAAGTCTCTCATTGCAAGGCGGCACTGCTGTGGTGCCCATGCAACGCCGCTGTGCATGGCCACGCCTCCTGCGTATCCACAGCCAGAATTGGGTTGCTGCATTATTTATGTCTACCTCTTTATTTTTGTGAAGGGTTTTTTTTGGTGAACAAAGGACTAGCAAATTAAGAATTTAATTGTACAGTGTAACCACCTGTTTTACTGTGCATGTGAAAAAATTCTTGAATCATGAATCTGCGCCGCTAGGCAAGTAAGTTAGCAGCCATCTGATGCTGGAGTACCCAGCCAGCATGAGACCACACCCGAATACTAGGGGGTATTTCGTGCACACTTTTGTACATTCCTTCTGCTAACAGTCAGACAAGAATGAGGAACCAGGATCTATTTGGTAGTACCAATGCGTTAAAAAACGTAGATCTTTACATTTCTTAGTATGTCTATTCCATGTAGAAAAATGCAGAACAATACACTTAACTGCATTGCCTAGGTGAACTGCCAGGTTTGTTCAATGAGGCAAAATGGTAACTGTGCTGTGGCCTGGAAGAAATGCAGCTGCTTTAACTTGTCAGCATTCCAAATCAAAGTCAGTCATATAATCTCTGCAATAGCCAGGTTTGGAGTGAATCTGACTTGATCATCCTGGGGTTCTATAGGCTAGGCATTGTCTTTAGTAGGTTTTAGATGTTTTCTTGGGATGGGCAGCAGCCCAACTGAAAAGTCCAAATGGCCTGAATTAGTATAAATTCCCAGGTCTTTGACAGCAGGTGTTGCGACTTTCCAGACACGGTTTACATGCTACCTTGAGTTGTCTGACATATGTAAGGTGGCTGGCCTCAGCTGTCTAGTGACCTACACAGGCGTAGACCAGAACGGTCCTGTTGGGATCAGCGGACCTTCGGGTAGTAATGTACTGTGAAACAAAGCATTCTTACTCTTTGTGTCCTGTTGAACCTGCATAAGCATAGATCAGAATGACTGCACCTTCAGTGAACCTGCCCTCAGTAATTGACAGTGAAGTGAGATATTTTCCCTCTTCATGTCTTGTTAAACTGTTTCTTCGTTTTGCACTGGTAGGCACCGACTCCTGGCCTGTCCCAAAGCCTACACTTGTGGTTTTAGGGTTTTGCCTACGTGCACGCTAACATGACATATTTCCAAATTTATCCAAAGTGTCTGAAGAGAGAGTGCTTTGGAGAAGCTCCTAGCTCATGCTGCTGCTTACTTTTGGGATGAACGGTTAGGGGACTTATCCTGCTTATGTTGACATAATTTTTGGTAGTTGTAGTCAGTGTCAGACAAAGTCAGATAATTTGTGCAGGCTGAGTTGATATTTTGCATGCCAGTGTTGAATTTGAATGTGATTTACCAGGTTGTGGCCCATCTGTTTGCTTGGATACTTCTCTCCATTCTTCTTTGACCTGTGAACTGTTTTTGTCCACAGGATTGCTTATCATACCTAATAAACTGGCAATTTAGTGCATTGTGGCTATTGAGTAAATGAAAGAGGAAGCATGTTAAATAGTTAATTTAGTGACTTTGGAACTTCAGTGAATGAACATTAGAAATAATCAACCTTGGCAAAGTATGGCTACTCATGTAATTAGCTAAAAAATGTGAAAATAAAATCTCTATACCATAATAGATACGGCAGTTTAGAAGACAACAGTATCAACTGTATCATTTCTTTATGATCTCTCTTTATGGGAACTATACCAATTCCCTAAAAGCTTTATAGTATTAAAACATAGGCTCATGGGAACACAATGAGGTGTTATATAGCAAGATGCACATGCCAAGCTTTTATTTTTCTTATGATGCCAAACATGAGACTCGGTGACCTAAGCGAATGTATGGCTAGCAACATTTTCTAATTACTGTTTCTCATTGCTAAAAAGCAATATACGGCTATTTTTGTGATTTTTTTTCATTCATAGTGCAGCATATGCTTGCTTTGAATTTTGGTATTGTTGGGAAGTTAAGACTTTAAAATTTCCTAGACCCATTTAGCTTTTCTTCACAGGATAATTCAATAGAGTTGTCAAAAACAAATTGCTGCTTAAAAATTCATGATGCATGAGTTAAGTCAGCAAAGATTGTTCTGCCTTAACTGTTTGGATAGTATTACCTGGAATTCACTGTCCTTGTAAGGAATTGTCAGGAATTAATGCAGATGAATGAAGTCTCATAACTTCTCAGCTTATATCTCTAATGCATAAACAGATAAATTTTACTGAAATTCATCTAGCATTAACATAGTGCCCTGCTAACAACGCTAACCCTAGAAATTTGGATATCTGTCATCTGTTGTCTGTTATCCTTCTTTTATTAAAGTACAGAACAGAGAAGCTTCACTTTGTGGTTGTTTATGGTAGTGAGCATATCTTTTTCAACTACATTTGATGAAAAGATTGAGCAGCATGCAAAGTTTTACTGTACAAAATATTTCATTCACAACTTTCCAACTAAATGGTTTCCATGATTTGGGAGAATGGAAGCCTATTTTATCCATCCCCTATTTCCTCATGTTTTTATTGTCTACCACCTCCAACTCTATTCTCATATATTTGATTGCATCTCAGAGTAATTTGCATTCTCCAATGTGTGTACTAATTGGTTTAATGGCTGTGGTGGACCTGTGTTTGCCAATATTTTTTGTACCAAATATGCTACTCAACTTTTTATTTGGTTGGAATTGGATTTCACTTGTAGGATGTTTGATACAAATGTTCTGTATTCATTACATTGGTGCATTTCAGTCTACATTACTGGTGTGGATGGCACTGGATCGGTTCTTTGCTATATGCAGACCACTTTATTATCACAAACATATGGAAATCTCTAACTTTCTGAAGTTCATTGTTGTGCCACTAATCAGAAATGGACTCTTGAATATTACTATGGTGTCTTGGGCTGGAAAATTATCTTTCTGTATGGTAAATGAAATGGATCATTGCTTTTGTGAACATATGGCATTGGTTCAGCTGGCATGTGGTGATATTTCCCTTAACAACCTGTTAGGCCTGTTAACTGCTTTTCTCATACCAACTGCAGATTTTGTTTTCATTACTGCATCCTATATAATTATATTTGCTTCTGTCCTGAAATCAGGGAAGGCTCACTTGAAGGCTATTAACACTTGTGTTACCCATATAATTGTTATGACAGTAAGTTTAACGTTTGCCTTGATAGCTTTTATGTCATATAGAATAAGAAACAACTTCTCACCGAACAGCCGAGTCTTTCTGAGTACAATGTACTTGCTTTTTCCAAGCTGCTTCAACCCAATAATTTATGGAGTTAGAACAACAGAAATAAGAGAACAGTTTCTAAAATTTTTGAATCATATGAAACTCTTATGACAATAATCCTAAAATATAGGTTACTCAAATGCTATAAGCAAAGGAACCAAGATGGTCACATATTTATTACTTTTATTTAAGTTGGTGCATTGTTTTACTATATTGCTAAGGGAAAATGAATAAAGCCTAAAACCCTAAAAATTGCAGCATTTATTTTACAGTTGTGAATAGCTTAAGGCATATCAGCATAATCACTGTTATCAAGGCATCTACAATATGTCACTGTTTTGAGATTTCACCTTTAATTTTCATAAATTGAAAGATGCATGATAAGTTGATGGTTTTTTCAGGAATGGTAGTAGTATGAAGAAAAAATAGTTTATGACAGTGAATTAAAACCAATATTATTATGTACTACTTATGTAGAATTATAGATACAGGGCTTACCACTTCAGCCAGAAGCCTGGTGCTTGTGTTCTTTTTAGTCCCAATCAAAATACTTATCTTCCGTTCACTATTAGAAGACTTAGTCTTGCAGTGGTCTGATGATCTAATGACATGAATTAAAAAAAATTTAACAGTGACTTTTTGCTGAAAATGATGCAGCCTCATGCAGATTTCATTTGAGCAGCAAGGAATAACTTGAAGGTTGGCATTTAATTTGGGGGAAAAATACAATGTAGCAGGGCACACACACATTCACTAAATAAAGTCAATAGTGTAACCTCCACCTCCTGCATGTTGTGCTTGACATCCTGTACATCTGTGAAAATGACCAAGGCCACCCAACAGAGAGGTGCTCTCAATGTTCACAGCTGGCATAATGAAAATGTGAAGGTAAACATGATAAGTTGATAAATTGGCTTATAATCTGCTGCTAAGTTTTTGACCTCCATTGACATTTGTGACATTTCTCAGACAACACTCCCACATGCTTCAAGAACAACAGACAGTGTGAGAAAGAAGATCACATGCTTGCCTAACTACCCCTATGTTGCATGGCATCATAATAAAGAAAAAAATGCTTATAAACAGCCTTCCTGACATACTGTACTCATATTTATTATGTATATCTTACAAAAAATAGTTCCAAAAACGATGGTGTGGGCTTTGTTTAGACTACGCTTAGAGGTCATAATACCTGAAATGTCTAAGAATAGCTTTAGAACATAAAAGGCCCGATGTACTAAACCTTTTCCATCGCAGTTCAGAAACATTCTGCCAGCATGTTATGTACTAAACTGGTGCATAGGCCTAAACGCGTTTCTGGGCTGTGCGCATGGAAAAAAACTGCACTTCTTACTGTTGAAGGAGGGTGTTGCAAAACAGGAAAGGTTCACACACACAAAAAAATGGGTGGAGATGTTGAAAGTGCAGCTGATTACATATTCCATTTGATTTACTAAAGTTTTAGTAACTAGTGGCAGCTAGTTTTACACAGATTTTTCTGCCTTTTAAAACCAAGTTTTATTTTTGTGTTAGTCTTAAAAAGGTGTTTCTAAGAGCAAACATGGCCAAGACAGAGACATAAGGAGAATGCTGGAAGAATATTTACTGTCACAATAACATTATTTAAACTCTTTTATTAAGTGATTGTTTCCCTAATGCAATACGAAAATATGATGTTTGTTTTGTTTGGCAACACAACTAGGGAGCAGGCCTTGCGTTTTAGATTTGGCATAATTTAAAAATGATCTTAGCAAGATTAATAATGGTTATACAAGCAATCTATACATCTCTGCTGCAACATGAAAACGTAAACTCTGTTTCCAGCTCTAGATTTTCTGAACAGCTCAGCTGATACTAATAAAGTACATAAAGGTTTATATAGATATAAAGATATGTTTCTCAAAACGAATAGCAGCAGTGAAAGTAGACCACGCCAAACACTGGCAACTTGAAAACAAAACAGAATAGCAAATAATAGCATGATAAAATTGAAATATATTTTCATCTAACATCTAGTACAATTTTTAATTTTATACATTGAATTTCTATATGGATATATAGATGTCTTTGTGAATAAGGATATAGTTATCTTTTAGCATATATAATAAATACAGTGCTATGACTCCTTTATGTTTGAATATATTTTTTCTTAGTTTTTGACTTACATGTACAACATAAAGAATCAAACAGTAAATAGAAACATACTGGATTTATGACTAGTAAATGCAGTAACTGCTGGAATTTTAACCTTTATTTAATTACGAAACACTAAACCAGACCATTTAATTATTTGCTAAATATCATGAGGCCTAAATAGTGAAAATAATTCTTATTAAGAAATTTGCATTTTAAATATAGCACAGTTGTCTTCTTTAAAAATGTGTATTTGGCTACAAATGAAGCTGAAATCATGCTATTTTGGAGTGACTGCTCACAAAAAGCTTTCAATGCACTCTGTGATGCATTCTTATGAAACAAAAAAGAAAAAAAAGAAAGTCATGGCATCTCACAGATCTCTGCATGCACACAACAAAATTCATGAAATAGACCCCAGATATACGTATGTGAGAAGATGGTCCGTGATGCAGCCGCAGAGTATGTGCTTCACAGTCCATACTACACAAACTCTATTTTCTTACCCGACGTAGAATTTCACCCTCATAGAATGTTTTGGTGGGAGCAAACTTTGTTTATTAATACCTCTATTCTTCATGACTGAACTTTGTTTTTCTTTGGTCAAATTTAGTGCTTAGTTATTTCAAGCATTTTATAAAATAAATTATCATATATTTCAGTTGATTCTTGAATCTTCATTTTATGTTCTCAGAGAGGAGAAGGATTAAACATTTGGTCTAAATAAAAGAGAGATAAGAAAGAACCTAGGACTAGCCCACATTATCTTTGTTTTTTAGTTTTCATGTTTGAATGCATTCGGTTCAGTAGTAGCTTGTGTAATTTTCAGTGTGGTATCAGGTACCAAAAATAGCCATAATCCACTGTTACGGTCTGCTTTCCAGTGTTTCTTGGGCTCTTTTGAGCTGTTTTGTGCTTCTGACGCTGCTAAGAACTGTCCCTGAAGGCCAGATCAGAGTTTTTACTTTGGCGCCCAATAACTGGGTTGGACCAAGCTGCTGTAGGCAGACCATAATCTCCTGAGAAAACACAAAGATGTATATAAAAGATCAGACACATGTAGAGCTTTTATTAAGCATTAGTCATACAGCTTTCTTTGAATGACAGTTCCAATGAATACCCATATGAGGTGGTTTGTATGGTTCAGTCTTGATATACAGATATCTAAAGTAGTGTAATTCAAATACAATATACATTAACAGAAATATACTTTGATTGTATTTAACTGACATTACAGTAGAGGCTATACATGTAACAACACAGAAACATATTCAAATATTGCTTCAGTAGTTTTTCTTTTTTCAACACTTATATTTGATGAAAATGCTGAATTTAAGTTGACAATGAGCAGCATGCAACATAATCCTGTACAAAATATTTCATTCACAACCTTTAAACTGAATGGTTTCCATGATTTGGGCGAATGGCGCCCCATTCTATTCATTCCCTATCTTCTAATGTTTTTATTGTCTACCACTTCAAACTCCATTCTAATATTTTTAATTATATCTCAAAGAGCTCTGCATTCCCCAATGTTTGTATTAATTGGTCTAATGGCTGTGGTGGACCTGTGTTGGCCAGTAGTTTTTGTGCCAAATATGCTGTTTAGCTTTTTATTTAACTGGAATGGGATTTCACTTTTGGGCTGTTTGATACAAATGTTTTGTCTTCATTATGTTGGCACATTTCAGTCTACATTACTGCTGTGGATGGCTCTGGATCGTTTCTTTGCTATATGCAGGCCTCTTTATTATCACAAATATATGCAAATGCCCAACTTTCTAAAGTTTATTATTGTGCCAGTAATCAGGAATGTAATATTAATTACTACAATGGTTTCTTTGGCTGGAAAATTGCAATTTTGTATTACAAATGAAATAGATCACTGTTTTTGTGAACACATGGCGTTGGTTCAGTTGGCATGTGGAGATATTTCTGTGAACAACTTGATAGGACTTTTGACTGCTTTTCTAGTACCAACTGGAGATTTTGTTTTTATTACTGTGTCTTATATAATAATCTTTGCCTCTGTCATAAAATCAGGGAAGTCCCACTTGAAGGCTATTAACACTTGTGTTACACATATAATTGTTATCACAAGTAGTTTGGCATTTGCCTTGATGGCTTTTTTGTCATACAGAATAAGAAATAATTTTTCTCCCAACAGCCGCATTTTTATAAGTACGATGTATGTACTTTTTTCAAGCTGCTTCAACCCAATTATCTATGGAATAAGAACAAAAGAAATAAGAGAACATTTTCTGAAATTTGTGAATCATGTGAAAACTGTACCACAGTAATGCAGTAATAGCGCTTATTTAACAGTTATGAATATGCAACGTCATACATGTATTTCTGCGTTTTTCAAACAAAAATGCATCAAGTTTTTCCATAACAGCTGTTAACTGAGTATTTTATTTGCCCCTGTTAATTTGTGTGATTTGAGATTAGTCACCCTTAATTTTTAAATGTTGTGATGACTTGATAATGTTGTCCAGAATACTAGAAATTTAAAGGCAGAACAACAATTTGTGCATTCACAGATTTTTTTAAAATGTGCACAAAAAGGTTCAGAGCATGAAGCTTTAACCTTCTTTAACCAGTCTTAATCATAATCGAGGTCTCTGTCAAAATTCTGACAGCTTGACCTTGTGCTAAAGCAAATGAGAAGGTCAGTAAGGGCATTGAAAGTGTAGATAAAGGACGCGCAGGAGCACTGGGATTGTTTTGAATGCACTGACTAGAATATGTTCAGAGCACCATCCACAAGTACTCCAGACTAACTACAGTAAAGAAATAGACTTTACATAGTTAAAATGTAGTGATGTCTGTTCCTTGCTGAAAGTGATGCAATTCAAGGGAAGTTTATTTATATAGCTCCTTACATTGTTGTCCTCCACAGTGCTTTACATATAATAAATACAAAGTCATTTAAAAAGTAAAAGAATATTGAGAAATGTAAAGTGAAGGAGAAATTAAAAACATGATTACAACAATAGATTTTCAAAGAGAAGAATCATTAAAAATGAATGAGGATATTTAAAATCAATTTAAAAGTTAAATTAGGATAATAAAGAGCTGTTATGGAAGAGAAGGGCTAAAAGAGCTAACTGTGTTTTAAACTGAGTTGAAAGCTGCTCAAATAGGAACTTTTTAAGCCTGGATTTAAATGTGTATCATGTCAGGACTCTTTTAGTGCTCTCTCTCAACTGGTTCCATTTAAGAGTAGTATGGCAGCTAAACATTGCTTCTACTCATTTCGCTGCAGCATATCAGATAAATACACTGATCTTACACCATTGAGAGATTTACAGACCAGTACTATGTTAAATTCTATTCTGTAACATACTGGTAGCCAGTGTAAGGATTTAAAAATGGGGTGATGTGTTTCCATCTTTTACTCTTAATGAGAACTTGATGTTTTAAGGTGATAAAATGCTGATTTAATAACTGCTTTGACCTAAAGCTAAGATCAAAGTCCATTAGTACATCAAGATTACACACTAGTTCTTATATTTTAGGGCTCTTGAATCCAGATAGGCAACTATTGTCTGTGCCTCTCCTGCTAATGCTATTCCCAAATAAAGTAATCTCTGTTTTATCTTTATTCAACTGCAGAAAGTCTTGTCCCATCCAGTTAGTGATGCGCTCAAGGCACTTACAAAGTGAGTCAAGGGGACCAAAGTTGTTTGGGGAGAGGGCCAAGTAGATCTTAGTGTCATCTGCATAGCTTTTGTACCATAATCCATAGTCCTATAGTATTTGGCCAAGAGGCAAGATGTATAAATAAAAAAAAAAATAAAAAAAAAAAGTGGCCCAAGAATTGAACCTTGGTGGATTACTGGCACTCTCTCAGAAACATTTTTTTCTGTTTCCACAAAGTAGTCCTTCCTTGCTGGTATGAACTGAACCATATTAGGACAGTTCCTGAGAGCCCAACCCAGTTCTCAAGTCTATCTGTGAGAATTGTCTGGTCAGTGGTTTCAAAGGCAGCGCTAAGATCAAGCAAAATGGATGTTTTTCCAGAGTCTGTATTTAAATAAATATCATTTGTAACCTTAATCACAGCTGTCTTAGTACTATAATTAGGCCGAGAAAACCTGACCTGAAATTTGTCTAGACAACCTTTTAACACGAGAAAACCAGTAAGTTGCTTGAAGACAATTTTTTCTGATAATTTTCCCAGTAAAAGGTAGATTTAAAATCAATCTGTAATTACTCAAAAGAGTTACTTGTAGAGTTCTTTTTTTAAGAGAGACTTCACATCTGTTTTTAATTAGTTAGGAAGAATGCCTGACATGAGTGAAGTGTTTACTATCTGAAGTATACCTGATGCTATTGAGTGAAACACGTTATTTAAAAAGATGGTGACATGTTGGGACTACAGGTGGAGGATTTGAGATGACTCACTGTGTTGATTGAAATTTAATTATTAATAGCACTAAAATGGGACATTTTAACCATGATATATATATGATAGAGAGGACAGTGGGCTCTTTGGTGGATATAGATGTATTAATGGCTGCTCTGATATTATGGATTTTAGTGTTAAAACATAAGCATACTCATTACATTTCTCAACTGATACTAATTTAGGGGCCTCATATGTAGGTAACATGGTTTTTAACAATGACAAAGAGTATTCTGCTGTTGTTAATGTTATTGTTGAAAATGCTGGTGAAAAAGGATTGTGTAGCTTTGCACATTATTGTGTTGTAAGCGTGCAGCCTGTGTTCAGCCTTCCTATGTTTTATGTTCAAGTTGTACTGCAGTAGCATTCCTCCAAGGTGCTTTCTGTTGGCATGACATAATTTTGACTTTAGCTGGTGCAATGTCATCCATAACACTGACAATATTTGGTTGAAGCTATCCAGCAAAGCGTCAACAGAGTCAGATCGTTTGGCCATGAAAAGTGTAGCTGTGCTGTCATTTATAAACCTTTTCTTAAAGCAAATATGTCAGGTTTTGATGTGTAGCGAGGTTTAAATTTCAGAGAAAACACAGTAATGATTTTGACAAAGTGACATCCTTATCAGTGGCTGATATATTGAGACTCTTCAAGATAAAGTGTGACCATGACAGTGTGTGCTCCTGGTCACATGCCAAGAGAGTCCAAAAAAGTGTAATATAACATAGAGTTCCTTGGCATAATTGCCGTTACCATTATATTTTTTAAAATTCAACAGCAATAACAAAATGATCAAAATCACTGGAAAGAAAATATAACATATTTGTAAATTCATCAGTTACATTAACAATGTACTTCAGAGGCCTGAAGACAATTACTAGTAATATTCTTGGTGCCCCTTTTAGAAACACAACAATAGTCAAAGGATGTGAAATCACCCAATGATAATTGCTTGCATTGGAAAGAATCATCAAATAGAGCAGCTACACCTCCACTTTTCTTCTCAGCATGTGAGACATTTATAAAATTAAGGTTTGGTTGTGCCAACTTGATTAAAATGGTTTAAGCACTACATTCATGTAACCATGTTTCTGTTAAAAGCATAATGGGCTGTAATAACATCATTAATCAAATAAGACTTGTTTGTCCAAAACTGTCATTGTTTTTAGAAGTCTGTAACCTGAAGAGGCAGTTTGTAAGTGTGTCTGTAGCACTACTCTAAAAAGTACAAAAAACAAGGAAAAATATCTATTTTTGGTTTTATAGTGCTCTTGACTTTTTTATTTATATAGAGAGAGCTCAAACACTGCAGCTTTAAAATACCTCATAAACTTTTGAAAATAAAGAGGAGAAATGAAAGATAGCAGAGCTAAGCAGAGCGGCGTCTAAACGGCAGAAGCAGGAAGTAGTAGATGCAGCCTGTAATACTTATTTCAATAATAAATAAAAAACGTAGATCTTTACAAGATCTATAGAGAAAAAAAGATGCATCGAACATTGTTTTATAATCGCATTGCATCCCTCTGAATCGTAATCGAACCGAATCAACAGGCGCCTAGAGATTCCCACTCCTAGTGAGAAGATGGTCCGTGATGTGGCCGCAGAGTATGCGCTTCACAGTCTGTGTTACACAAACTCTACATTCTTGGTAAGGGTAGAATGTCCCTCATGGAATGTTTTGGTGGGAGCAAACTTTGTTAATTAATACCTCTATCTTTTAATGACTGAACTTTGAGCTTCTCTTTTGTCTTAAATTTGATGACTGCTTAATTGTTTCACAGTGCCTTTTAAATCCCGCACCTCACTGGGTGGGGCTGTGCACAGTTTGCATGATAAGCTGCTGTTTCAGTAAATCAAACATTAGGTTCAGGTGCATAGTGGGCACACATTGTGGTCGTACCGAGGCACATTCTGCACTGTGGCTGCACTCCTACATACATCTAGCCCAGAGTGTTTTATAAAATATTTTGACATACATTTCAGTTGATTCTTGAATCTTTATTTTATGCTCTCAGAGAGGAGAAGGATTAAACTAATTGCTCTAAATAAAAGAGAGATAAAAAACCTGGGACTAGCCCACATTATCTTGTTTTACAGTTTTCATGTTTGAATGCATTCAGTTCAGTAGTAGCTCATGTACTTTTCAGTGTGGTATAAGGTATCAAAAATAGCCATAATCCACTGTTACAAGTTTGTGTTTGAGTGATTTTTGAGCTCTTAGCATAGAACAAGCTGTTTTGCTGTTGTGCTGTTTTTGTGCTCCTGACGCTGCTAAGAACTTTCCCTGCAGGCCAGATCAGAGTTTTTACTTTGGCGTCCAATAACTGGGTTGGACCAAGCTGCTGTAGGCAGACCATAATCTCCTGAGAAAACACAAAGATGTATATAAAAGATCAGACACATGTAGAGCTTTTATTAAGCATTAGTCATACAGCTTTCTTTGAATGACAATTCCAGTGAATACCCATATGAGGTGGTTTGTATGGTTCAGTCTTGATATACAGATATCTAAAGTAGTGTAATTCAAATACAATATACATTAACAGAAATATACTTTGATTGTATTTAACTGACATTACAGTAGAGGCTATACATGTAACAACACAGAAACATATTCAAATATTGCTTCAGTAGTTTTTCTTTTTTCAACACTTATATTTGATGAAAATGCTGAATTTAAGTTGACAATGAGCAGCATGCAACATAATCCTGTACAAAATATTTCATTCACAACTTTCAAACTGAATGGTTTCCATGATTTGGGCGAATGGCGCCCCATTCTATTCATTCCCTATCTTCTAATGTTTTTATTGTCTACCACTTCAAACTCCATTCTAATATTTTTAATTATATCTCAAAGAGCTCTGCATTCCCCAATGTTTGTATTAATTG